AAACCCGTCTGGATAACCGCAGACTGACTGTATGTAAAATATACGACAGGTCTGGACCACTCGTGAATTTTGTTCGTATTTGAAGAAAATCTTACAATAAGAGAAAATTGGTGAATGCCACAAATTCTCCTAAATCACTCGTACGCACAACTTAAGAACAGATCTGTGTGTACGAGCGGTTCTTGCATGAGGCCCAGTGATACCAAATACTTAGAACATGTAAATAATTTTGGGACTTTGAAAAAAGTATACTTGTTTTAATCAAAAAGAAAAAAATAAGTAGGTCCTCTGGATGGGTTCTTTGGGTTTTTCTACCTGAATTACTGAGATGCATCTCGACATACTTGTTTTATTTTTAGTCTTTTAGGCTTTTAACAAAAATACTTTTCAGAATTCTGACGTAAAACAGTGYTGTGTTCTTAGGTTTTCAGAGAAAGCATTAGTTGTTCTGTTCTTTTTATTACACCCACATGTTTTGTATTTTGATAGATTTTTTTTTTGTTTATTAATTTTTTTGTGAGCGTCTGGTTTACAACATGTTAGGTGGCCTTTAGGCCCAGGCCTCCCTTGCAACAGATCTGTGATCTCAGTGGTATTTGCCTGGTTAAATAAAGGTGTATGTCTAAATAAACCTGTTAATATTMAGACATCTAAGGACACAGATGAGGTCAGACTGAACTGGATCTGTTAGTGTTAGATGTGTAGCCTGGATGTTTGTCAGTAACGTTTTTATTTCTCACAATAGATGTGAATAATTTTCAGCTTTTAGATTAATGTTAAAGTTCATAAAATGACTATACAGACCCCTTATCATCTAGGTCAGAGGTTCTCAAACTGGGGTCCCAGGACCCCCCAGGGGTCCACGAGCCCTATTTTGGGGGTCCTCAAAAATTTTCAGTAAATTTTTATTTTGGATTTTATTTGAAAAATGAACATGAGGAACAATGCACTAGTAAAACAAACACACTAAACCAAATAAAAACATAATATTCTCATAACATTTAGTGGTTAAAATGACAGTGAATTATTTCTCAAACAGCACGGGGTTTATGAGGGGGTCCCTGGAAATTTTTCACACTTGAGGGGTCCTCAGACCCAAAAAGTTTGAGAACCCCTGATCTAGGTGACAAGATGGTGAGAGTTTTTATTGTTTTAATTGTACTTTATTTTACTTTAATTTTAATTTACCTTTAAAAACTGACAAATTGTACATTATTTTTTTATTTTAATGAGCACACATTTAATTTTCTAAAGTATGCAGTTTGTTAAAATAAAACAATGGATTTGTATTGTATTG